AAAAAGAGGAAGACTGGCATGGATGTTAACTCAGGGCTGATCTTCCTCACAAAAAATAAATAAATAAATAAAAGATATCCCTGAAATAGATCAGATTGATTTGTTTCTGATCTTTAGCAATTTATATCTTAAATCTGTAGAGATCTTCCCCTTTTCTGTATTGTAGCATTTTCAATAGCTTTCTAACATTATATTCTGTATTTTAGCCTTACAAAAAGAGCCACCCAGAATTCTTCAAGAACAAGAGGAAGATACAAGAATACAATAGAGAAATGAATGAAAGAGGCACATCTAGTGCCGTCTCTCTGTCAACGATTTTCTGGTTTTTCATATCCCTTCAACCCCTAAGTGAAATGGAAAACATGGAGGTTGTTGAAAAATCCAATAAATTCTCACACAATGATCTCATTGTAGAGTGTCTGTGAATAAACTTAAATTTCAGAAACGTGTGCCATTCTGCACTGCACAATATGTTCTCTTTGCCTTCCTCCCACACACATTATTTTAGGTGCTATTATTGACAGACTGGACATTAGGAAGAAACTAATGTAATTACAGAAGGCTTTCGTTTGCATTTATTAACCTGTAAAGTCGGCTCAACTGACACTACTAACAGACAAGGTTTGAGCAGGATTAAAACAGAAGATGATCCCAGGGAAGAGAAGTGAGAGAAGGTACAACAGGGAAGGAGAAAAGCCAACAAGGTCATTCGATGCAATCTGGGTGACTGCTGGAGTGTGGGGGACTATCTGTGGGACCCCTGAAGGAAGCAGAGCATTTAGGCATGGACTCGAGTCCCCCACTGGTTGAAGGATCCCTCGGATATTAACCTCTCCCCTTCCTTTGCTGGGCTTGAAAGCCGAGGCAGAAAATAGGAAAGTGCTGGCAAAACTTAGAGTGAAAAATTGCAAAAATCTGAGTTTTGGCTGAAATGAGTGATGGACCCTGAGGATATGATGCAGGGCACTAGGGGCATCTGCTACAAAAATCCATAAAATAGAAATGTTACATTTCTAAAAGATTATACCACATGGTGGCACTTTTCCCACCCCCGCCTCACCCCCTCAAACACAGGCCCTGCAGAAAGCTCCAGCCAGGTTTCCATGGTTGCCAATCTCTTCATCACAACTGTAATTTTAAAAGTTCACCATAATCAAGTCCTGCTTTCTTGCAGTTGGATAAAATGCAGGGTTATAGCACATACCTACACGAGTGTTCCTTAGATGCTCAGAAATGTCCTGGTAAAAAATTAAGATCCCTGGGCCCACTGAACCAGAATTTCTGGGACTGGAACAAGAACGTTTTTAACCTTACGTGTAATTTGGAAGGAACTTTCAAGGTCATGTGTTAGATCTGATGCAAAAGTGTCAGTGGGTTCTGGATTTGGGCTGGGCTGCTGGGCTAGCAATAGGGTAAGGCGGAACTGCCTGACTAAAGCCAAGCCGACAGTCAATACCGAAGCACCTGTTTTAACAGTTGGATCAAGAGAGACCCACTTTCTTACTTGTCATTCTCTTTAGAGCACAAAAAAGTCAATGGCCTTTTTATTGCCAAAGTTCCTCTTCAACTCCTCAGTTTCTTTGACACTGCTTTCCCAGCTCTCTTCTTCCCAGCCCTTAAGCATCAGTTTTCCACAGAGTTCTTTCTTCTTCTAGATCATTATTACTCTTAAGCTATATATCTAAGTGATCTCTTGTAGTTGTAACGACCACAGACTGATGACTCTCCAGGGGCGTGCTCTCCCAAACTTCATATCCTACTGCCTGCCTAGTAGACATACTCACCTGGATGTCAAAAAGAATCTCAAACATCAACATGACTAGTTAATGATAGCATCAAGTACCTAGTCAACCAAGCCAGAAAGCTCAGTCACTTAGATTCCTCCTCCCTGACCCCCACCCTATCCAATCACCAAATCACTAAAATGTTCCCTCTTCTTCATCCCTGGCACAACTGCCCTGGTTTAAGCAGCCATCTTGTCTCTGCTACACTGTTTTTATCTATAGGGAAGCCTAATCTCTTATCAGTGCAATGCAAGGCCATGGGGCCCACCCCAGCCAACCTATCAGCTTCATTCCTGCTTTGTTTGCCCCACCACTCTTCACATTTTGGAAGCTTGTTCACAGAACCACTACCACAGGACCAGGTAGATGAACGCCAATCACATCACTTAAGATACAAATTTTAAGGCAGCAGGAACCATAAGACTAACAGAACAGCTTCAAATTTTTTTCATACTAACCGCCACCCATTTCCTTCCACCCATTTATTATCAGAAATCTACTGAACACTCTGGGCTGGATATTACTGGTGCAATTAGGAATAAGACAGAAAAGTGAATTGGCAATTACAATAGAACGTGATATGTGTTCTAAGGATAGTACAGGTGCTGGGGATGGCCGGGGGGCAGAGAAGGAAAGAGTGTGTGAAGGGAGGAGAGGGGACCACCAGCACCAAGCTCAGTCTTGAGGGTGTAGAAACAGGTCAGAGAAGCCCTGATTTTCTAAGCTAAGCCCTGAAGGAAGATAAAGTCCTAAGAGGTTCAAAAGTAGATGAGGCCTTTGGGAACTGAGGTAGGTGAGAAATAATCAGAGTCCAAGCTCAGGCGGTATGAGTGAAGAGGTGACAAGTAAA